TTCATTCTGTTTGCTTTCACCCAATCCGGTTCCTACCAAAAACATTTCCATTTTTGTAAAAATATAATTCACCTAATAAAAAAAAAGAATCAAATAACCAAAATTAAATAAAATAGTAAAATACCTCAGGTACAATCCTTGAAAAACCAAACTTTATAAGTAGCAAGACATGTTCCATTATTAAAATGGCTGCAAGTCCTGGAGATATGTTCCATTTTCCTTCCCTATCATATAAACATACTAAAAGCGCACAATTTGTGCATATCGACACCACTATCAGAAACTGAAAATCAAAAAATCAAAAAATTATAAAATTATAAAACACGTTTTTTATATATAAAGTGTATGGAATTATAGAAAGGATTATGACCTGAAATATGTTAAGCCAAGCGCCTATTGTGGCATCGACTCGTGGAACAGGTCTTCTAAACATGACAATAATCTTTAAAGCGTCTGCTCTGATTTCTGTAATATTGTTCTTTACGACACAAAAACATGACAAGCGTTTTTTATATTAACTTGTCAATGACATAATATTTTATTTGGAAGAATAAGAAGAAAAAGGTGTTGGATTTACCAATGCAGCAAAAGCAAATGCAGGAGGAAAAGCACAAGCAAACATCATAATCATTCCAAATTGCAAAGCCAACTCCAGAAAATCTGTGCAATATTTTTATATTATATTTTGGAAAAATGAATAAATAAATTTGTTTTATAAATTTATATATTACCATCAAAGAGCCCATCTTCAAGTTCATCACCAATACTTGCAGCATACACAGGCTTAAAGTACTCTTTTTCTACCCTAGAATTGAAAATATGTTTTCCACCTGCATACCCTTTCTCCCGTTTTCTCTTGTGACTTCATAAATGATGAGTCAGCGTTTATTAATTATTCGACACTCAATATAATTATTTTAAGAAAAAAAAAAAAGACTTACCGAATAGCTCTGTATTTTCTATAACTGTATTTGACATAAGGCAGAGAATTTTCCATCAGATTCTCCAACACCTAGAGAACATTTTTCAATCAAACACTTTTTAAAAATTAAAAAATATAAACATTTAAGAAAATTTCACTACATTTTTTATAATTTTATCACCTCTGATATGATTAAACGTTGAATTATAACTTGTCGAAGTGTCATGAAGTTTCGATGTAGAACTGCATGATAAAGTATTCCAATGTATGATTGCATAAAGTAGAGACCAAAAACCTGTATCATGATTTATCAGAGATTAAATTTATATTAAAAAAAAAAGTTAAATTTACAAATAATGACCTTATAAACCAAACTATTAGCTCTATATTCAGAGCACTTGTTCTTTTCATCTTTAATTAACTTCACAGACACTTTCCCTCCAATTTGTGTAAAATACTGGATAGCAAACAGGTATCCTGCAGTCAACCCAAACCTGAAATATAAACAATTTATTATAAACTTATAATTATATTAATAAATATTATTTTAAAGATCGTGTAATTGTTAAAAAAAAGAAAAAAAAAGTACTCACTTTACAACATCAGATCCGATGCTTTCATACAAATGTGCATATGCTAATTCAAAAGGAAGTTGAAGGCATATGATACTGAGAATAATAATTGCATCATTTCTAAATCTCATCATTCTCCCAAACCATTCTTCTCTTTGAAATTTTTCATTTTCTTTTCCTTTATTTTCACCCCATTTTTTAGCTGAAGCTGCTGATGAATGAAAGGAACTCCACTCTGTGTCCATGTATTTGTAAGCAGACTCTGATCCAGCTGAATAACTAATTTGCCACCTGTAAAATCAGGAAACAAAAAATAAAAAGATTTTAAGAATTAGGTATTATTTTGATTATCTAAAAGTATAACACAAAGATGTTGTATTAATTACCTGGCTAAAAGGGTAGAGTTTTTTCGCTTCCAGAATTGGAAAAATAAAACTGCCCATGAAGTTATGCATATAAAGAAAATGGGAAGCACAAATAACTGCAATGATCTGAAAGGAAATTAAAGATTCAGATGAATGTGTTAAGCCAAAGAAATTTGTTTTTTTTTTGGGAATGTAAGGATAAAATGGTCAAAAGAAAGTGACATACACATACCCAAAATCAACCAATTGCAATATAAGCCCAAACACTGCAGGGAATAGCAACCATTTTGTGTACATTCCAAGAAAAGCAAAATATGTTGCAATCTGTATATAAGATAAGCAATCAATATAAACATCAATAAAATAGGTAATATATATTAATTATATAAAAAATTAATCCCTATTTACCTTTGTTCCATAGTAGGCATAGATCTCATCAATAGGTTGATTTGTAAGGTCCCATAAGTTTAGTGCCCAACGTTTCAAAAGCTGTTTTCTCTTTGTTTCATCTATGAAACAAAATCGATGATAATTACAAAACTAGATTGTGAAAGGAAGAAAAAAGAAGAATTTTAGGAGACATACCATGAAGAGGAAAGACTTCTTTAACAATGGCTTCTGTCTCCAATTTCCACATAAGAGATTCACCAGGCTCCCAGTTAAATTTTCTGCCATTGAATTTTAAAACTACAGCAGATTCGCCATTGTTTACCTGTCAATTTCAGTGTTTGATTTCAGCGATTGATAGTGAAAACGTGGAAGAGTAGATATTAACTTACGATTCCGTATATCATGTGATTGTAGCAGCGAAAACGTTCACACCAACTGAATAGCGAACCATCTGCTTGTTTGATAAAAGCCTCGGATTCATCCCATTCGAATTGTAAATCCACACCTGCAACAAAACTAAATGAAGAAGAAGGAAGAAATATGGGAAGATAAAGGGGGGGAGTAGGATTATCGTGTGTGATTTCACCTATATGAGTTCTCTTCTTCAAATGTAACTCAGCGGCTGCCTGACCTAAAACCTCCACCGGCGCTGCTAGCTGGAAAAGAGAACATGTTGAAAGGGTTTTAATAGGGTTTTGAAATTCAATTTACAAAATGCCACGGATTTGCTTGGTTTTTCTATGATAATGTATAAGAAATAAGAAAAGAATCATATACGTTCGATGAAAACTATGCATGTTGTTGAAATGAATGTAGAGGAATGAACCTTGAGGAATTCATCGTGAAGGCCAGCAACTCTATCGACAATTAGACCAACTTTTTGAAATTCATAAACAAGAACTTCATCACAATCATAACCATAGTTGTCCCCAATATCGTCTACTACCCTCTTATGAATAACAACCCCTATTTCAAAAGCGGCTTGTTTCCCCTTTAATGTCTCCATTTCGGAATCTCCAAGAAATCCCTGAAAACAAGAAAATCCCTTCGGAAATTTGTTATTTGTGAATCAAAAAACACGAATTCTTACAAAAACCTAGCTCCTACAAAAAAGGATTAAAGAAAATGGAAACGATATCATCAGAATCATCGTTTTAAACATGCCGACTAGGTCATATTTAGGGGTTTTTTCGGAATTGAAAATGTGTTTCCGCTGTAACGCAATAGAAAGGGATTCGAAAAGGAGGAGAAAAGGAATAGACAAAAAATCAAAGACAGGTGTCTGTGAAATCGAGATTTAGGGGTGTGATGGCGCGTTGAGATTAAGGAATGAGTTGCCACGTGGGTTTGTATGACCCAATTGGCGCCGACTTGTACTCAATGAAGATGAACTTAAAACGATGAAGTCGTCATGAATTCAGCTGAAAGACAAATGTCGCACGACTATCGATGTGCATACATCGATTGCAACGCCATTCCTTGTTTTCCATATCTGAAAATGCGAAATGCAGAGAGATGGGACCATGAAAACATTTATTCTGATCAAAATCAGATGATAGGAATACAAGGTTCCTCGGATAAAATGGCAAGTTGCCGAAAACTGTCGAGGGAATGGTTACCGGCGCAGGCTGAGTGAATTTTCCGGCGAACTTGATTTTTTTGAAATTTGGATTCCTTCCTTCAGAGTTACAATCAAATATCAAAATAGCGTCAATTTAGCGGTTTTCAAATTATAGTCATAAGAATCCTGAGAGATTCTGTTTTGAATGAATATTTGGAAAGGATTAATTATTAAGAGTAAATTACAAAACTAGTCCTAGTTTACTAAAAGTAGATTATTTTGATTTTTATATTTGGACAGAATTATATCAACGTACGTGCTTTTGGCAAGTGGTAAGGAATTTTTTTGCAAAGATTGTCTTTAAGTTTAAGAATTTTTTGTAAAAACGATTCTTATGGCTAACTATGTTAAAAGGAGGGATTATTTTTTTACGCATTGATTAATATACCTTCATGTCATATTGATCATTTCTAAAATTTGTCTTAAAAAAAATAAAATGTTATGTGTTTATCTGTTTCACATGATTTCTAAGGAATTAAAAGGAATTGGAAACTAAAATCGAAAGCAAAATGTGTTTTGCTTACCAACATGTTTGACTTACTAAATGAATAAAATCAAATTTCTATAATTACCATTTATTTATGTATTTGAATAATTTCTAGAACAAATTATACAAATGGTCCTTAAGGTTTTGTTTTCTTCCCTAAAGTAGTCTCTATGAAACTTTTTTCCCTTAGATGGTACCTACGGAACAAACCTTGCACACAAAAGGTCCTTGTGACTAACTTTGCTAACAAATTTTGTTAAATGACAAAAATACCCTTTGTTTTATGAACACAAATGGTCCTCTCTCTCTCTCTCTCTCTCTCTCTCTCTCTCTCTTCGTCCTTCCACTATGTTATGATTTAGGGGGTTTCACAATTGCTTCAAAATTTTAAAAGCCAAGTTTAGAAATTTGTGGGTAAACTATGTTTTAGGCGTAGCTAAGAACATTGCACCATGGAAAGATCATTCAGACAAAAGATCAAACACTTGGTAGACAATAAGATCAAACATGTTTCCCTGTAACATTTTACAAACTTGAAAGAACACCTGAAAGCATAAACATTGTTTGTACACCCATTTCCATTCTCATGCTCTTCACTTGCTCATAACCCATTAACCCTTGCACAAAAAAAGCATAATATTGAATGGAAGATTCAATCACGATGAACAACATGAAGCAGTTTCATAAACAATCAGATGCAAATCAAAGGAGAGATGAAGAAATGTCGACTAGTCAAACCCAACCTTGCTCACCTAAATCCTCATCGATATATCCCAAGATTCATCAATTACATCCTCAAAGAACATCGTTTCCTCTTCACCCTAATCGGAATCTTGATCGGTTTTGCCTTCGTCATCCTGAGACCATCGTTTACCACCATCCGATACTGGATATGAAATCCCATATGTGCAACGGAAGAGAAAGTTCACGAAGAAGAAGTCATCTATCGGATCAGTGCTTTCCGGCAAAACCAGAAGGATATGAGAAGGGAAAGAGAGTGGTAGTTGCTTCCTCCAGTGCGCTTCTCATCTCGTCAGTTGATAGCATCACGAGCAGTTGCAGCGGGCACGAGGGTGCTGGCGGAGATGTGGTTGCCGGTGTTCCTAGGTGTCGACGATGGTGAAGGAATGAAACAACAGAGTAATGAAGTTGAAGATGTAAAAGACCCATATATGAGAGAGAGAGAGAGGGGGGGATCATTTATGTGCATAAAACAAATGGCATTTTTGTCATTTCATAAAACTTAACAGAATCTGTTAGCAAAGTTAGTCACAGGGGCCTTTTGTGTGCAAGGTTTGCTCCGTAGGTACCATCTGAGGGGAAAAAAGTTTCATAAGGACTACTTTAGGGAAAAAGACAAAATCTTAAGGACCATTCGTGTAATTTGTTCTAATTTCTAATTCTTTCTCCGTGCATCAATAATTTATATTAAATTTCATATATTTTTTTAGTGACAAAATTGACCTCCCATTATGTACGAGATATTGAAATAAAAACAATCATCTATGTGGTTTTCATTCTCTTTCCTATGATTATATGCTCTCATCAATTATATATCTCTCAATCATGATTACGATCTCAGTCATTATTACCAAACGATTCCATCTATCGATCATCATTGTTGTGCTATCGTACTTCATATGTGATTAACCATTTTTGTAATACTTTGTTATATCGTCTCTATTGACAAGTAAGCCTCTCGATTTTTTCCGCAATTAATTGTGTTTCACCATTGTTTTATACATTTTTCATATCTGCTTCATCTTTGCATCGTAGATAATATCATAATATTTTCATATATGTGATATTGTACTTCGTCATTGGTTTATTTGCATTAATTATGTTCATAATTGTTTTATACATTTGTGCTTCATTTTGCATCATAGGAAATAACATAATATTTTCACATTTCACATGTGTGCTACTGTACTTCTTGGTTGGTTACTTTGTATGAACTATTAGTAACTATGTTTACATGTATAAATACTTGTAAAATACATTTTGTAGTTCGAACTTATCATTGAGGATGTGCAATCGCACCTTTTATAAGTTTGCATACAAAGTGTTTGTGTTTGACTTTGTGTTTTTTTGTATTTGCTTGTGTATATCTTTTAGGAGTTTAAGAAACTCCAGACCTAATGAGGAGTGTTTCCTTTCATTTAAGAGTATTGTGGTTCATAAAAATGGGACCTTGATCTTTCCTAATCATGCATGATTGATCAAGTAAGCTTTTTGGTCATGAATAAGACTTAGGTTTGGATTTTTGACCCCTTGTAGCCATGCAAAGGCATAAAGGTTACAACTGTATGGTTTTAAACATTTGTTAGGGTTAGATCTGAAGTTTGGATTTTAAGTCTTAAGGTATTAAGACCTTATTAGAGAAATTAGACGTTTGAAGGGTACGTTGGGCGTAACCTTAAGTACGTTGGGATGTACTGGGTTGCTTCCCCGTAAACCTTCCAAGTAGAGGTTGTACGTTGGGCGTAATAAGTAGCATGTTAGGTGTACTAATAGAAAATCCACTCGGTCCATTTTTGGGCTTTGGGTTGTTAGGGATTTTGGACCTTGTATTTGGGTCATGCTTGGAAATGGAAAAATGATCTTTTGCCCTTGGTAAAATAAATATGGTTTAGACCATGAAATATGGGTTAAACCTTGATTTTAATTAGGGTTATCTTTACGTTTTGATTAATGTAAGGAGTCGTGTAGCAATAACTAAACTGTGTGATTCAATTATCTTCAGTTAGAGGTGTGTATTCTCACTGTGCTTATGGGTAGAAGGCACCAATGTCAGCCCACTATGTTGTTATATTGTATGTTAGTTATTATGTGAATCTTACATGTTTGTATGATTTAGGTTGAAATAGACCCTAAGGTTGGGCCCCAGTACTGGGCCCATGAGTATATGATGGGTTGGAAGAAACCTCATGGTTAGGCCTAGTTGTTTGTTTGGCATGTAATACTTTGGGGAAACTCACTAAACCTTGTGCTTACAGATTATTTCTACAGTTTCAGGTACTTCCAGTTCAAAAGGGAAGGGCCTGACGTGATGGAAAAACATCATCCCTTCATGATTTCCTCACTTTTTGATATTTGTATAATGATATTTTTGTTGGATTACGTGTCTAAGCCCATAACTATAATTGGTGTGTACTTGACCAAATGGTAGCATGATCCATTTCCGGTTGCCATCTTCAAAACAATTTGATAGGATGGATATTTGAGTAAGAAGTTATTTGTAATTTATTAATATATTATAAGTATAATATAATAATTGAGAAATAATATTATTTAATTGGTATTAATCAATAATTAATTTGGAATTAATTTAGTGATCAAAAGATACTAATTAAATTAACGGGGACTGATTATGTAAATCAGTGATACATATGGTTTGGGCTATTGATCCATGATGGGCTAAGTTTATGTGAGAGTCCATGAAGAGTTGGTCCATATGAGTTATGGATCATAAGCCTAAGTGTAAGAATTAGGCTTACATATAACTCTTGGAATTCTACAATATATATGTAACCCGCTAAAGCTAAAAATGGGACCAAGGGTGTATTATTCTAAGAGATGGACGATTTTGAGTGCTACTAAACCTGTCTCATTTGTTCTCCAATTGTTCACGGTGTTTGTGAACTCTTTGAGGCATCATACGTGGTGTGCTAAGCTCTTAAAGGCCAAAATACAACAAGCTACAACAAGAGATAATCTTCTAACTTGTTTTTTATGATTCATATATCAATGTTGTATGCTAGTCATTAGTTTCATGCTTTGGAAATTTTTATTGCATGTATAACTAGAGAAAACTTAGATCTAAAGCATTAGGGTTGTATGTGCACCATAGGAGTGTTATAATACATAAATCCCAACAGTGGTATCAGAGCCATGGGTGTTTTCTGTTATATAGATGCAATTGTATCGTTTTCAAAGTTGAAAAATTGTGATTTTTGTTGTCTGACTTTTGGACTCGATGAGTCCCATGAGTGGACTCGACGAGTTGACTCATATGACCATGAACTCGACGAGTCCATAACCTGGCTCGACGAGTTGGATCATTAGATGGCATATTTTTCGAGTTTTTGGCATGTTTTGGATTAGGATCGTTACCACAAACTATTTTGGCTCGTAAAATTCGATTTTACTTATATGGTAATGATCATCCTCATCCAATAACATGATGATTGTCAAATTTTAAGATAATGACTTTTTTTTGTAAAACTCTAATTATTTGTAGAATTTGAATCATCTTGCTATTAGGTCAAATTAGTAATAGATAAAATTATGATTATTTTATTAGTTGTAAAATTTAATCTAAATGTTTTGAAGAGTTACAAAACTTGTTATCAAGTTTTGGAACTCAAAAAGTTTTTTTTAGTTACAAAAATATTACTTAAAATGATCTAAATATATTTTTTTTGAAGAGTTTTATAACTTGTCCTCAAGTAATGGAACATGAAAAGTCACATTCATTAAACATTAACTCCATAAGTTATGGAAATCAAAAGTTTTGAAGAGTTACAAAACGTGCCCTTAGGTTTTGGAACTTGAAAAGTCTTATTTATGAAACATTGAAAGTTGTAACTCTTAGTTTCATAACTTAAAAAAAATTAATTAAATAGTATTAATTTTGAATTTTATGTCTTGGTTTAATTATCTAAAAAAATTAATTAAATAGTTTTAATTTTAAAATTTGTATTTAAAACTTTTATGGTTTTGAATAGTTCAAATTACACCCTTATAGAGTTTATGAAATTAATTAAAGTGTTTAATTAAAAGATAATTAATAATACATAATGTCACGGTTTAAGTTTATTTAAATTAAGAGTATAATTTGTTAATAGATTAAACCAACAAGTATTTTAAATGTGTAAAATACACCCTTATACTATATAAAATTAAAAGTTTAATATATTATATATGTATAAGTAAAAGGTCAGTCTTACCGTTAGTAAGCCTCATTTACGAAGCTAATCTATAAGGGGATATAAGGAAACTGTTGGATTAGTTTCTAAGCTCGTAACTATATTTGGTAAATACTTGACCCGGTTGTGCATGATCTTTTTGGGTTGCCTTCACCAAAGCAACTTGACAGGGTAATTTATGAATAGAGAGGTTAATATGGTTTATTAATATATTATATGAATAATATATTAAAGGAGAAATCATATAGTTTGATTAATATTAGACACTAATTAATTAAGAATTAATTATGTGGCTAAAAGACATTAATTAAATATCGGGGACTTAAACTGTCAAATGTGTGATAGTTGAGTATTGTGCTGAGGAGCCTCTTGGACTAGGCATGGACAAAATTAGGATGTGTCCATCCATAATTTCGGTCATAAGGGCCTTATTACAGAAGCTTCCTTGGATTGCTTAAGGCCTAAGCTGTACATTAGGGTTTAGACTGAAACCCTAGCAGCACCAGTATAAATAAGACCCTAAGGCTTCCAATTTTCGGCCACTTGAACCCTAAGAGCCTTCATAGCCGAATTTGTGTCTATTACCTCTCTCTCATATAATCCTTTTGCTTGTGTGGTGTTTGTAAGCCATTAGAGGAGTGATATTTGTGAATCTAAGCTCCAAGACAAGATGATTCAAGCCATTGTTCAAGAGGTAATCATCTAGATTTGTTTTCTTATGTAAATTTCGAATCATGTATGCTAGATCTAGGGTTTGTAAGTCTTGGATGAATTGCATGTACAATAGAGAAACCTAGATCCAAGATTTAGGGTTTGCATTAACACATAGAATGTGTAAAACCCATCAGAAATTGCCTATAAAATGGCAGTTGAATGGGTGTCCACTCTCACCCACCGCCTCCTTGATTTGTGGAGGGTCGTTAGTCGAATGGGTATGATAGGGCACAAACTCCCACTATAAGTATAATGAAATACCAAGTAACTAAATGCTTAATAAATTCTCAATCTTAGTTACTTAGAAAAAGATGTAAATTTGATGCTAACCCATGAAATTTCACGTTGCACCTGTCAGTTTGTAGAGCGTGTGTGGTTAACCGACACACTAATGTGGACTAATGAAGGATAGAAATGGGTAACTCGTATTTTGTCATAGATCAATAGAGCGTGTGTGGTTAACCAAAACATTGATTGAGTG